TCTAAATATGGATATACTTAGATGGTAAATACATCGTCTTCCCAGCACAGGCTTCGTGTCCTATCAAAGGATCAATCATGCTCCTGCAAGGGGACAACGCATTACTAAATAATGTCAAAAATGTGATTGCCTTAGAGAATAAAGACAGAACAATGTTTATGTGAGAAATGTTCAAGGAATGCAGCTTTTTTTTTTTTTTGAGTTTCTGTTCTTTAACTGGTAATTGAAATATGCCTAGATCCTAAAATAGAGATTCCTGAGAACAGATGTGATTATAATTCTGTCAAGGACAACAGTTTGGATTTTTGTTGCATTACGGGAAATGAATCTTTCAGGTCAGTGTGAATGAGAATTATTTTATTCTTTTATTCTAATACTTCTCAGACTTTGTTAGTCATAAGTTTTTGATTCAAGTGTTCTGGGTGGGGTCCTGGAATCTGTATGTTTAACTAGCACCCCAAGTAGTTCTTAGGAAGTTGGTCCATATTCTGCCCAAAGGGAATTCTGTTTTAGTCTATCAGAAAACCATGGGAAGGAATTGACTGGAGTGAATATCTTGGGGATGTTTATGATACAAACTATTGTGAATTTATGAAGTCTATCTAGAATTTTAGAAAATAGTCTTTGCTGATAAGTTTCAAAATGCTTCATCTATAAATATAACCCAGGGTTGCCAGGGCAGTTAGATGCAATGCTGTACATAAAGCACTGATTTTTATTCACTTTTTCACTTAGCAAAAATTTATTGAGTTCCTACCATGTTCAAGTCAGCTTGGAAGATACAAGGCATATAGAGATTATCAAATGCAATCCTTGACTTCAGGGAATTCACGATGTATTAAATAATTGCAATTATGTTGAGATGAGGATAATAATACAATATATGATAGGGTTCTTTGGTAGAAAAAGCAGTGTTTAATTGTATTAGAATGTAAACCCCTTTCATTAATTCAATAAATATTTATCAATTACTTGCTATGTCTGAGGTGCTGTTAGGCATTGGTAATACAATTGTGAATCAGATAAAGATAACCCCTGTCCTCATGACAATTACAGTCTAGTAAGTGACAGGCACTTAAGAATTAACAGGAAATGACAACATAGTATGATAAGTGCTATGATTGGAGAAATATAGTGTGTTATGAAAGCACATTATAGGAACATCATATCTATGATTTGGGGTATAAGGAGAGATGTCTAAATTGATAACTGAAAGATGAAAAGTGGTCAGGCAGATGAAGAGGGAAATAGAGTAGTCTGCACAGAAGGAACATCATTTTAGAAGACCTGGTAGTGAGGGAGAAAACGTCATAGTTGAAGATGGCATAGTTGAAGATCTGAATGTGTGACTAAAGGCTAGTGTGGGAGGAGAATCATATTGCGAGAAAATGCTGAAAAGGTGAGCAGGACTCAAGAGTTGTGGGTCATGCTGAGTAATCTGGACTTTGTTCTTCAAGCTGTGAGAAACCACTGAGAGGTTTTGCAAGGGAGGGATGTGATCAGATTTATGTTTTAGAAAACCACTCACGCTCCAGTAAAAGAATAGATTTATAGAGGGTTAAAACTACAGGCAAGGGACTGGTTAGACTGATACATTAATTGAGTTGAGAAGAGACGGAGGCCTGAATTAGGGAAATTTGGGGGGATAAAGAACTTGGACAGATCAGAGAGACATGAATCAAGCAGAGTCAACAGCACTTAGATATTTGTGTCTTCAGAAATTTGTGAAGTGATAAGCACATAGAAAGCACGCAAAATAATGTTTGTTGAATGAGTCAGGAAAGTATTCACAAAAGAGCTGATAGAACTGGATTGTGACAAGCCTTTTCTATTTATTGGGCACATCTTCCTGGATTTTCAACCAGGTCTTCAAACTCAGTATTTCTATAACTGCATCTATCTTTGCCCATGAAATCTATTCTTCATCTTGACTTTTTTTTCTGGACCTGGCATTAATCCGCTTCCATTCAGCCAAGGATGGGAATCAATTACCCCTGTGTCTCTAGTGGCTAACACAGTACTTTGCCCAGATTGGCATAAATATTCCATAATTTTTGGTTAAATAAATAACTCCACGAATTCACCCAAGCTCAAAACCTCACTGTGATTGAAGCTAACCCACTCACATCAAATCAGTGGCCAAAGAGTTGGTCGAGCATTATCTTTGCAACATATCCTGAATCTACCCCTCTTTCCTCTATTGCTGTTTTGTTTTTTTGTGGACATAGGCAGGATTCGCCTCATACGTCTCTCTATCTCCGAGCTAGGACCTCTTTAATCCATTCTAATACAGCAGCCAGGGAAATATTGCCAAAAGACATTTTTTGCCACGGCTCTCCTCTATTCAAAATGTTCAATGATTCTCCCTCACCATTCTAGCTTGACCCTCATGATCCTCCGTGACTTCCCTTCTGATCTTCTCTTCATTTCCTGCTATTACTCTCACCCTAACTTCTGCACACCAGACTACTTCAGCCATAATGGCATTACAGTTTGTCAAAATGCCCTACATTTTAGCACATCTATTTCTTGACTCGTGTTGCTCTTTTGCTTGGAATTCTTTTCATTTCAGACTCTGCTTAGCCAAAGTCTGCCCTTCCTTCAAAGCCCAGGCCTAACCTCTATCTTCTCCATGTAACCCTCTGGGTCTCTCCTCAACTAGCGATGACTATTCTTCTCTAAGCTCCAAGTACATTTTAATTTGCACGTGTCTTATGGTACATGTCACTTTCTTTCTTTTAAATCGTTATTTCTATTTGTTTTACTTCCCTTTACACTGTAAACAGGGCATGGATTGTGTGTGTTTCTTCTTTCTGACGCAAGTGATACCTAATTTGTCTTACAAACAGGGTATGCCCATTAAACATTTATTGAATGAATGAATTAATGAACAAACATTCAAAATCCATTCCTGGATAAATCCAAGGAACTGTTTTGCCATTCTCCTTATAACTTCATTCTCAAAAAGGGCTATGATTGTCCCCTAGAAAGGACTGAGAAATGAGTAGAAATGTTCTGGTTGTCACAATGTCTAGGGAAGGGTCACTGCTGACATTTAGTGATTAGGGACCAAGGAGGCTAAATTTCCTGAGGCATTCTGAACAGTCTCTGTCCACTTCTGTTGAAAAACACCTATAGGATTTGATTTTTAGTGTATGATAGTCCTATTCTTGGCTTTTCTTTCTTGTATCTTAACCATATAATTATGTTAAGAATTTGATGAAATAAGGTATATAAGGTATCTAGGTTAGTTTGCAAAATAAGCTTGCAGTCGATGGTAGTTGTTATGGTCAGTTACTTATCTGGAAAATAGGGGTAATGATAATATCTACCTCATAGTATTATTAGGAGTATTAAATAGATTAGTGCATGGGAAGCTCTTTGAACAATGCCTGGCATATTGTTAAATGCTCAGTAAATATTATCATTACTATTGTTAGTCTGTTATTAGTATTATTTTCAGATGTTTCACAGAGTAGGGTTAAATTGAATTTATTGTCTACTAAAAGCCTCAGGACTTGTTCACATGAAGAACGGTTAAGTCAGTTCCTTTGCGATCTTACACCTGTGAACAAAATGAGCTCAGACCTTGCTGTGCTTTGGTTCCTTTTGAAGGTTGATGGGCAATTCCAAGGTGAACAAACTTAGTGCCTGTGGCCTTTAACCACATATCAAGGTGAAGAGAAATAGCAATTTGATTCCGGGTTTTGCATTGAAATGGATCTGGCGCGGTGCTGCTTTACAGTGCTGGAGCTACCTCGCCACTCAGCATTTGGTTTTCTGGAGAAAGAAATCTACGAAGACAGAAATTTGCTTAGGGGCTACTTTTTATTTTTATTTATTTTATTTTTGACACTACTGAATGTTCTAGTGGGACTTAGGGAGTTATCCATCTTTGAATTTAGAATTAGATTTCTCCTTGCTTTCATGATAGTTGTTACCCCAACTGGCTCACAAAGCGCTTCCCCATATATTACATCATTTGATTTTTCACAACAGCCCAGTGGAGTATGGATTATTATTTTTCTTATTTTACTAATGAGGAAACTGAGCACATTTATGACTTACACAGATAGTATCAGCTCTGAGATTCACATTTGTGTTTTCTGGCTCTAAAATCTAAGATTGACAGGTGAACTATTTAATATAACGATGCACAACTTCAAGCACCCATCTGTTTCTGGCTTCTTAGAATCAGGTTGTTGGGAGAACAACGAGGGAGGAAGAGAGGAAACTTCTACCTTATGGACCGATTTCTATATACCAGGTATGATGCCAGGCACTACTCATTAGTCATTTCATGTAATCCTATAGATAGAAGATGTAGAGACTGAGAAATAAAGAAGTTAAATAACTTAGCAGACCCCAAACTATATACAGGCTATGTGCTAATTTTTGTAAGTTTGTTTAAAGCTCAGAGTGCTGCCAGTGTTAAAAGTGTTCAAAGTGATGGTTTAAAGTAGTTAAAAGTGATTCAGAGTTCTCAGGCAAAGTTCTCATAAAGCCTGTTATTAAATATCATTTTTAACATTGGCTCTGCCAAAGGTGAGCTAGTTCTGATTTTAAACCTAGGTTATATAAGAAGGGATTTCCCTGGCAGCAGTTATAGGGGCAAGACAGGATGGCCTCAGCCAGAGCCATTTGTACCTAATGGTAATTTTACAAACCTAGTGTCCATGAGTCTGTATGTTTTCTATCTTCTTTGTTACAACTTGGAGGAATCATAACAGAATTTCTCTTAGAAAATATATATCTTTTTCTTTCTCACTAACTCAGATAATGGTGATCTTCTGGGAAAAGAATCATCATGGATCAAATTTACTCACCAATTATTTTCAGGTATTCAAAAGACAAATTAGAATTTAAATAAAGACTTTAATGATTCTGATTAAAGAAAGTGTAAGGAAAACTTAAAAATGAGTTATTTTTGCCCAAGCTAGTATAAAAATTTCATAAACTCCCTCTGTGAGATAAGCAGTCTTCAAACTTTTTATGCAAACTATTGATTTTTATAATGTATTTCAGAGAGATAAAGTTTTCCATTCAGTATATATGCATATTTCCCTATTTCTTCATGAACATATCAATATTTTGTATTTGTGATAGCTTTCTAAATAATACAATTTGGCTTTATCCTTCAGTTATATCAGTTCTATGTGCCTTGTTTTTTTTATTTTACCCTATTTTTAAAAAATCTAAAGGAAAGAGGAGGTATATCTGTTATCTGTGGCTGAATGGCATTAGATGAATCTTTTAAAAGCAAGTTATAGAAATCTCTTAGAGACTCATGCAACAGGTATATATTTATTATTCAGTGCCTTCATGAAAAAATAGATTTTTCAACTCCTGAGGTTATACTGGTGAACATAATTTAAAATAAAACCTGAGAAAAGTAAAAAAGATTAAATAAATATTCATGAAAATGCCCTCTTCAGGAAATAGGGTCATTTGAACAGTCTATTCCATTAAAAATCACTTTATTTCACTTAAATTGGTTACTTCGCAGGGAAGGAAGACATAAGAATACTAAGGGATTGATTCTGAAATCTGGACTAAAGAAATGACTTTGAAATCTCTCCATTGCATTAGCCAAATGGAATTTATCACAAATCAGTTGTTTAACTTACATACTCAGAGGAGTACCAAGAATCCACTTAAGTGCTATATCAAAATTTTATGAAAAATTAGTATTTTTATTAATATATAAATACTGACAAACTACAAATTAATTTGAACTTTTATAGCATTTGGGGTGATCTAAAATGAGCAATTGCCTAAATGTGACTTACTAACAATCACTTATAATGATCATTGAAATTAATTCACAATCAGAATAACACAGAATGGACTGTGAAATCATCAGCATCATTTAATTTTTATTTATGAAGATCACTAGAAATTAGATCAAATAATCTTTAATCAAAAGATAAATAAATTTGAGGGCCAGCTCCGGTGGCCTAGTGGTTAAGTTTGGTGAGCTCCGCTTCGGAGGTCCAGGTTCAGTGCCCAGGTGTGGACCTACGCCACTCATCTATCAGTGGTCATGCTGTAGCGGCTGCTCACATACAAAATAGAGGACGATTGGTAGCAAATGTTAGCTAAGGGTGAGTCTTCCTCAGCAAAAAAGAGGAAGATTGGCAACAGATGTTAGCTCAGGGAGAATCTTCCTCAGCAAAAGGAAAAAGATAAATAAATTTGAAACTATAAGATTTTTATCAGATATTGGTAACCATACTTACTGATCAACTATTGTGATGTTTGAAAGTTCAATCTAAACAACACTGTCATGTGGGTGGTTTCTCAGACTTATACTTATCCCACCACCCAATTTTGTTCTCTCTCTCTCTGTCCCTTTAACTGCTGCTTTCAAGTTCTATACATGAGATGGTCTGAATGCTTGTATCCCCTCAAAATTCATATGTTGAAATCCTAATGACCAATGTGATGGTATTAGGAGGTGGGGTGTTTGGGTAGTGCTTAGGTCATAAGAGTGGAGTCCTTGTGAATGGGATTAACGTTCTTATAAAAGAGACCCCATAGTGCTCCCAAGCCCCTTCCGCTATGTGAGGACACAGTGAGAAGTTGGTAGTCTGCAACTGGAAGGGGGCCTTCACCAGAGTCCAACCATGCCGGCACCCTGATCTTGGGCTTCCAGACTCCAGAATTATGAGAAATAAATTTCTGTTGCTTATAAGCCACCCAGTTTATAATATTTTGTGATAGCAGTCCAACAGACTAAGACAATACATTTATCCAAATCCCCTTGAGAGCTATTGAAAAAATCATAGAAAAGGTAGGAGATTAGATAAGATTGTCCTACACCATTGATACTCAATGTGTCCTGGGACCAGAAATATCAGCATCATCTGAGAGTTTGTTAGAAATGCAAATCATAGGTCCCATCCTGGACCTATTGACTCAGAATTCCCAGATAATTTGCCCACAAAATAAAGCTTGGAAAGTACTGTTCTAGGAGGTGCCATGAATACTCAGAAGCTGAGATGGTACCAGATACCTTTCCATTCCTGACCCTAACTTGGTCATCTTGAGTTAGAAGTGCTTTGGGATGGGGTCTAGAATGCCATCTTCTTATCACACAGGAGAATGCCTTTCTATTTTCAATCCTGCTGTTCATTCAGTCTCCTAACAGCTAGAATGAAGGACTAAGTTACGCAACTTTGCCCCTTCTGCCAAGATCCAAATTAGGCAAGAGAGCAGACAAGATTGAGTTAATCATTATCTGAAAGCTGTTAAATTAATTAAACAGGAGTCCGTTAGACTGAGGTGATTCTAATGCCTTAACAGCCTACCTAAGCATACCAAAACCTAAGCCTGTAAGCGCCTCACAGTTAAGAAATTCAGACCTCACAAGCAGCTCACTAGGCTTTTCCAAATAAAGCAAATGCTTAAGCCAGTCAAATAACATCTTTGCTTTGCTTCCGCCTCTTTTCCATAAAAGTCTTTCCCCTAGCTCCTATGGGTGGAGGGCTCCTAACCACTTCCGGTTTGGCGCTGCCCATTCAAATCAATTTTTCTTAAACTCTTAAAAATGTTAATATGCCTTAGTTTATCTTTTAACAAAGTCTTAATCAGGAATGCTGTTCTGGTTCTTCTTATAGCCTTACTGGTGCATTCCTGTCAGGATGGAGGTAGAATGTTGGGGCTGGGATGCTGGGACGGGACAGCGGGAGCTGCTGGAGTGCAGGCAATAAGGAGGTGGGTAATCTGTCAAGACAGAGAAAGAGAAGGGAACTGTACTGTAATGTTTATTTTATTTTAATTTTTAAATTGTTTTAATCAGTGTGATTTTACATACAAAGTTCAATAAAAGGAAATTCTCATTGTCTGTATTCCTCTACTGGCAGTTATTAGTAATTCCTTTTATTTCATGAATATAACTGCTATAATTTTGTCTTGTAGAGGAGGGGTGTTAAAAAACAATCCACTCCCAGTGTCAAATACACTAGGTGCACTACCACCTGTAGACATCTCTGCCAGAAGTGGCTTTGGTTCAGTACTGGGGTTTCTGTTTCTTTTGATTTGCTGAACTTGAATATTAGAATAATCTAGGTTTTACCTAGTGCAGATGTATAATTGCCCCTAGAAAGTGTTTTTTATTGGAAGTATTTCATTTCTTTGCTTTTTCAAATAAGACATTATCTAATTACATCTCAAGAGTGACATGGGACTTGAGAAAAAGATCTGACCTTGAGGGATTCCTAGATTTCACCCTGTGTTAATTTGCATCCAGCACTTAACATGAGGGTGCGAATGGAGAAAATATTTTCTTACCCATATGCTGTTCTCAGAAGACACTGACTGCTCTTAAACTGAATATTTTAACACTTAAGGTTTTCCAGATATTTTGGACTCTATGGGGCCGTTCACTTTGAGTTACCTATTTTCTAATTTTTTGGAGACTGAAACTTTTGAATGCATTGCTACTTCATTCTCTGCTTTTAGTCAAGACTGAGGAGAAAAGAGAATTAACATATTTTTGAAATTTTAGAAGCAAAAATATAGTACGTCATGACTAGCTGGGATGGATGAATGAACCAGGGGTTAAGAACAGTTACCTACCAGGGCCAGGCTGGTAAAAGAAATGTGTGAAGAGGCAGAGACTTGGCAATGTGAAGTGGAGGGGACCAGGGTAAACTGGAGAGAGCATGTCTAATGTACAGGAGACAGCCACTGCTCAGCTCTAGCTGATCGCAGTCAGGCAGTTTTCGGAGCACAGAGTTGCCGGATCATTTGATAGAAGCATGAAATCTGAATTTTCACAAGGCATCTCTCAATATTTTAAAATACAGTGCAAGCAAAGAGGAATGTGTCTGATGGCCAGATTCAGTCCACAGGCCACTAGTTCACCACCTCTAGAGAAACAAATTTCCATAATAGATTCCAGTAATTTTTAGTAGCTTCTCGAAGGAAGTTATTCCTTTTAGATGTTGTAAAACCATTATGTGTTAATTCTTATCCCATTTTCTTTCTGTTTTGTCCTTAAGGAGGAGAATAATGACTGTCATCCATTTTCTGCATAAAAATGCAATGCATTTAAAGGCTTGAGCCACTTCATAGAAAACTTAATCTCCCAATGAAATGGTACCAAAATATTCTCATAATATTGCTCACATACAATTTTCTTAGGATTTTTGCTGAGAGGATTTGATGGGACCCTGTTGGAAACAGAAAGGGGGCCTTGTCTTCTCTCAGTGGGGTGTCTTTAAAACACTAAAGGGACTCCTGGTGGATCTGCAAGCTTTTGGTATGCTTAAATTTGCTTAACTATTCCTAATACTGAATGCTTAGTCTAAACATATTGTCATACAGTGAACAACCTCAAAGACTGTTCCTGATAACGGCAATTACTTTGGATAATGAATGAGCTGAAACTGTCATGCCTTCTGTATTCCTATACATGTCCATACTGGTGTAAACAGAAGTCTTCAGAAAATGAATTTTGGTTTTTGTAAGTTGATGAACTCTAACCTGATGTCCTCCTGCGCTAAATATTGTATCTGTATGTAAAACCTTATTTCTCTGTTAAATGATGATGCCATTAATTACCAGAATCTTTTAGTCCTATTCAATCTTTTACCCTGTAACAATTTGAAAGCTTATACAGACAACCAAACGATGATTATTACTTCAAGATATCAGGGCAAGTTTTAATATACACTCTGCTAAACAAGAATGCTTTAAACTTATATCTGAATCAAAGTTCACCCACTTGCATTATTATTTGTATTTTAATTTTTTAAAGAAAAAAATGAAATTTTTAGTTATTTTAGCAATCTGGGAGAGGACAATGATTCCTGTTAGAAGAGGAGGTTGCTAAGTCATTAGGGAAAAGGGAACGTGTTCTTTATTCATATTTGCATTCAAAGAAGCTAGTACAATGTCTTGTCTAGCACTTTGCAGCGATCCAGTGAAGGGCTGAATGAATAATGGGAACCAGCTGCTCCATGACAAGGCTCCTGTCAAGGCCTGGTAGAACCTGATTGGAGTGTGGAAAACCCATCAACAGAGGCTGCCTTTCCAAACTAGGAGCATCCCTCAGGCTGACCTTTCCAATTCTAGTAAAAGTGTGATGGGGGTGAGGTTCAGCGAGATTAAGTGTGGGGAATGTCTACATTCAAAGATGCCATATTTTATATTCTTGTAGGAGTTTTTTTTTTTAAGAACATATTCAAACCCACTCACACATTTATATTAAAAGTTATGTTAATTGCCAAGCGAATATATTTCAAATTTAGAAATCCTACTCATTCCTAATTATAGCTGTCAAAGTGGCAGGGCTTTGTGAACTAGCTAGCAAATGTGGAAAAGCCTTCCTAGTAAATCAATAAAGTGGAACATTTTTAGAGATATGTGATTAATTATTTAGCACAAGGAAACACTATGCAGCTTGTATTGTGTCTTCGTACAATTGCACAGGTTCTTTTCTTTCTATTAGAAAGCTAATTGTGCTTTTTAAGTACCTGGGATACAAATCTTTTGATTTTCTAAGTGGTATGTCAAACTAACTTACATAGTCAGTGCCTACTTGTGAATATATTGCAAATATGGCAGTGGAAGTAAATGGAATGGACCATTTACAGCCTGCTTTGTAACACCTCAAAGGCATCTATTATGTAGGCAAGCACTTTGGCTTAACAATTTTGTCCTTTAATACGGAGGCTTGTTAAAAATAGCCTATTCAGAATATGTTGCTCATTCAGTAGTCATTTCTGATAGTTTAGTGTAGAATGTAGGGAACTATGACAATGATTGATTGCAAGTTATTAAAGTAATTGCAAATGTGACATTAATTAAATTAATTATTTTCTTAAAATTTCAACCTAGAAGAGAAAAAGATGTAAACACAGAAATGTGTAACATTGTAGATAATATCATGGGCTCTGTAAGTAAACTTTCTGGTTCAATTTCTGCTCCCACCATCTATTAACTGAGTGAATTTCGTCCATCTACTAACGTCTCTGGGTTACAGATTCCTCAGGTGGAAAATGAATCTGACAATAGTAACTATACTCATCGGATGGTGTGAAGATCAGATGCAAAGATGTATATAAAATGCTTTGATGGTGCAAAGCATTTGGTAAACACTCAATTATTGTTAGCTATTATTGTTTCAAAATTAAACCAGAAATTAGGAGTATTTTCTGCATTTCCAAACAATATTTAGTAGTCATTTGAGAACCAATGGTTCATTTCAGCCTTTATAAATATTCACAGTAAATACCATAAAACACTGACTCTGTTGTATAATGAAAAGCTAACACATGTGGAGATGCATTTTTTCCCGAAGAAATTTACATTATAAGAACATCTTGAACTTCCGCTTATTTGTCCCTTATTTGGGTCTTTGTCCTTGGATGAAATCCCTTATTGATATAAGACTAATACTTTAGCTATATAAAAGTTCAGCTCTCTGGCAAACTCCCCTCTCTGGAAGATGGCTTAGCACCAGGAAACAAACAGGCCAATCTAAGCAAAAAAATAGATATCACAAAATCAATATCCCAAATTCTCACTCTTTACTTATAGAGGTGT